AAGGACATCATGTTGGGATGTGCAGGACAACGATGACCTTTTGGAAGAAAAGGACCTGACAACCAATGTCTCATGGTTGTCATAATGACTCTTGTGTGTCATTTGCCCCAAAGGAGTGTCAAAAAAAAGGGGGCTCCTTGTGAAAAAAAGGACAAGGAACTTTTGGGAAAGCAAGGCATGCCGCAAAAAGGGCAGACCATGGGGAATTTTGGACAATTTCTTCCTAAAAAGGTCATACCTACTGTTTCAGATGTACGGGCCCTCACCTGCTACCAGCCGCACCCCCTGCCCCCCCCATCTTCCATCCTTGACCTCTGGCATCACTTCGGCAGTCTGGCTGAATCAGCTTCTCACAGTTGGGTTCCAGAGGTCATTACCATTGAAGGGAGTGAGGTCCGCCTGGTTCAGGCTCTTCTTGCCGGTACCCTTTGTGCTGTGAGCGACGGCTATTACAAATCTAAAGTGGGCACCGCATGCGCTCAAATTCTCACTGAGGATTGCAGGGATATCTTCTGGATCACCTGCCAAACCCCTGGTAAATTTTACGATCAGAGTTCAACTCGCAGCAAATTGATTGGCCTTCTGGCTTCTCTCCTGGTGTTGGACTGGATGTCTCAGGTCGCCCACCTGAAACTCTTTGCCAGCCAACCATCGGTTGAGATTGCCTGCGACGGGCTCATAGCTCTTGATACGTCCTTCTCCGAAGTCCACCTGTCATTGTCTACCATCCGAGCCTTGCTTCGCCACCCTCCAAGTTCATTGGCGCCATGTTAAAGGACACCTGGACAAGCACCGGCCTTTCTCCCAACTGGACTAATAGGAGCAGCGCAATGTGGAAGTGGACTCCAAAGCACAGTCCTGCCGCCGCCTGCTGGAGTCTACAGGCCGTTCTGCCGCCTCCAACCCCCGCTTCTTCCATGAACCTGTGTCTTTATTCATTGATGGTGATAAGTCCTCCAAACTGGATCAGACTCACATCATGGAGCTGGTCTCTCTTCCTGCCCTTCAAACATATTGGTCCTCCAAGGACCGCCTCTCCAAGCAGTCCATACATGAGGTCAATTGATTGTCTCTTGCACGCGCCATGAAGGCCCTTCCAGCAAATCTACAACGCTGGACACCCAAGCATATCTCTGGTATGACAGGTGTGGGAAAATTCTTGGCCATTTGGAAGCGTTTGGCGAAGAGCTCTTGTCCCAAATGCTCCTCCTGCCCCGTGGAAGACCACTTCCATGTTCCACCCTGTTCTGCTCCTAGTGCAGTTGCAGAATGGTCAAAACTCCATCTGGCCCTCCGGACCTGGATGCAGACTCAGCAGACTGCCCCAGAGATTGAAGCCTTCCTCTTCAAATACCTGAAGAAAGTCCGTCAGCCTTCCTTGGGCGTCCCCACCGTCCGAGCCTAGAGGCCGAATCAAGTTCTGTAAACAAGGGATTTTCCAAGCAAAAATCGTTGAACTTACTTTTGTGATTGAATCATCAATTCAAGCCAAACATTAATCAAATAGGAACAATTTCACTCAAAGTATACCTAGACACAGGAGAACTATTGTCGTGAAAGTGTTGTACAGTCGATTACGAATTTAGATTGCAGAGAGTTTGTTCTGTGAGCTAAAGGCACTCACGATAGAGCACATTTTGCTTTATTCTAACACAATCCAGGAAAGCTGGTACAAAACCCACGTACAGAACTCCCGCAGGATTCAGTATGGGATTTTCGTGGCGCTCAGACTGTTTGATAGTCCAAGCGCACAATTCCATGTTTTCGGATTCCCTGCAAAACCGACTCATAGGAA